CAGCAGCCCAGCCCCTCAGGGGCAGCCCCTTACAGCTGATACAGGAACCAGAGGAAATAAACTAGGGAATTGGGGCTAGGAATTTGCACAGCCACTTTTGGACTTGGGAAGTCCAGTTTGGGACGCTGCTCATCCAGACTGTGAAATACCAGAGAGAGGGAGAGGCCTGAATGAAGAAGGGGAGCATTCACTTCTCCCACCACACCTGCCCATCCCAGCACCCACTTCTCCACCATTCCGGGAAGACACGGAGCTCAGAGGAGGCAGGGAGAGGCCCAAACTCACTTGAAGTGGTCCTGGAGAGCCACGTTGAAGTCAAAGGCATCCCCTCGGTCCACAAAGCCGACCCCGATGAAAGCGCGGCGGCCTGGGGAAGGAGGAAGGGTCAGGTCTGGGAAGCTCCATCTTGCACATCCTGGCTCCATCCTGCACGTGCCTGASGCTGCCTCCAGAGGGAGCTGGGACTCAGGAGACCGAGCCCTGGGAGTGGGGATCCCAAAATCCTGGATGGGYTGGGCTGGAGAGACCTTAAAGCCCAYCCAGTGCCACYCCTGCCATGGGCAGGGACACCTCCCACWGTCCCAGGCTGCTCCAAGCCCTGCCCAGCCTGGCCTGGGACACTGCCGGGGATCCAGGGGCAGCCACAGCTKCTCTGGGCACCCTCAGAAGGAGCAATTCCTTCCCAATATCCCATCCATCCCTGSCCTCTGGCAATGGGATCCATTCCCTGGCTTCTGTCCCTCCATCCCTTGACCCCAGTCCCTCTCCAACTCTCTTGGAGCCTCTTTAGGCCYTGGAGCCTTCCCTTCTCCAGAGGCATCTCCAGCTATTTTATCTCGCTGGCTGCACCTATGGCTTCAGCAAAAGCAGCTTTTTAATGAAGAGGCAGCAGGGGGATGATCCTGCATCCTCCTGCCAATGCTGAGCAGCCAAATCCAAATGTTTTTGTTCCTGGCAAAGGTCAAAGCGCAGCTAGCAGGTGGGAGTGAGATAATTCCTCCCTCTGCCGCCCTGTGCAGGGAATATTCCACCACRGAGAGCAGGAATCCTGCCCAAACAGGAGCACTGAGGGCTCTGAGGACCCCCCGGGTGCATGGGACCCACCGTTCCCATCTTCGATCCGGATGACAAAGTATCTGCTGGAGTCTGTCACACTCTCCACAGCGATGCCAGGGAACTGYTCCACGGGAGCCTGGGCAAAGAGCTCTCCTGGAACACAGGAAWGGGAGTGGGGTAAGGCCAGGGCACGGTGCCATATCCCCACTGCCCACAGAGCCCTGGAACTCCCTCCTCACCCGAGGTCTTGTCCTCCAACTTGATGAAGGCCATGCTGCCCTTGGCYGTGATCCGCAGGCGCCCGCTCCAGGCCGGCTGGTCCAGCTGCCACTCCGCRGCTCTGGAAAAACAGGAAGCGGAGCCTGAGCCGCCTGTGCCACCCCCACAGCCCCGGGTGCTGCTGTCCCACCGAGCTCCTCTGCCTGGAGCTGGTAAAGAGGGCTTAGGGGGGAGTGAGGGGCAGCAGGAGATGTGTCAAAAAATGTTTCGTTTCACCCCAAAATAGCTGCTGCGTTTTGCGGGGTGAGGGGCAAGAGCTGCTGAGGAGGTTTCGGTTCCCTTTCCACGGAGATTCAGCCCCAAAGCTGCGTTAGGGATGGGATGGGAGCCCCAAAATACGCGGGGGGATGGAGACACCCCTGTGGGGCTGGGATGGGGGCAGAGATACCCCACGGGGGACTGAGATACCCCACGAGGGGCAGTGCTTGCCGCCCCACGGTGAGTGACAGACCCCCATCTGGGGGGTCAGACCCCCATCCCTCCTGGGAACCACAAACCCCACCAGGAGGAGCAGAACCCACACACCTTATGAGGAGGGGACCCCCACAAACCCCACAGGGAGGGGGCGAAACCCCCGTGTCAGGAGGCGCTGACACCCCCCGGGCGGGCACGGGCCCCACCTGTAGCCGCGGTTGGAGGCCCGCGGCGGGACCCGGTACACGAGCACCGCCGGYTTCACGCACAACACGGACTCGTACTCCTCCTCCGCCGCCATGGCGGCCCCGCTCTGTCCCGCCGCCTGGACGGTGTCTCGCTGGTGCCTCTGGGCTGCCCCGGCACGGGCGGGGCCCGCTCGTGAGGCGCTTCCGCACCCGCGGCGCCCCCTAGCGGGCGGGAGGACCCGGCGCAGGGAGCTGCGGGCACTGGTCCCAGCGCGCTGCTGGAACTGGAACCGCCTCTGGGCTCCCAGCCACGGAACTCACAGGTTTCAGCGCCTTTATAAATCAAATAATTGATTGTACTAATTATATTTATTTCTATTATAGTATCATATAGTGTATAATATGTTYTGTATCATATATATATATGATACATGAAATGCATGTATTAGATGTACCATACATATATGTAACTTGGTCTATATTTGATATATTTGTGTATATTTCTATATTATACATCAATATTATATATCTACATTATTTATATTATAAAGAAATAAATTATAGAAAAATCATCAGAATCCCAAGGGAGCCAGGGCCTGTGGGAGCTGCCAGTGCTCCRACTTCTCATCCTCATCCAGCACCTYCTCCGGGCCTGATGGAGCACAACATCCAYGGGGAAGCCCAGCAYGGAGCAACAAAATAATTAAAYTTAATTAATTAATTTAATTAACTAATCCCTTTCTTTACCCTCTATGGAGAGGCAGCTCACATCCAGGGTTGGGATCCACATTTTCCCTTGGAGCACTGCCCTTTCCACCCTCCTCAGATCACTCCTCCCAACCCCCCAAAAAAAGGGGCGAAATTCCCTGGTTTTGGGTAAAACTGGTACCATCATAGCCRAATGCTCTGAGATTTTACCTTCCTGACAGATTTTTAAGTAGCTGGCACCGAAAAGTCACCCCTGGGAGCCACGAGGATGAAGCAGGGAACCGTAAAGCGTTAAAACTTTAAAGACATTTATTTAAAATACAATTTATAAAACGTTTTCTTTCTGGCGCACGTTTTTGGGGCGGAAACACGTGGTACCGTGTTGGTCCTCCCCCTCCTCGGGATGAAGGCGCTTCCCACAGGAACGCCGCCCGAGCCCTGCCGGCGGGCGGGACGTGTCCTGGGCACCGGGACGCAGCGGGAGCAGCCGGGAGAATTCCGCGTCGGAGAAGGAGATCTCAGTGCTGGAAAAGGTGATTTTGGTGCCGGAGGTCTCAGTGCCGGTGGTGGAATTCCAGTGCCGAACACGGAGAGTTCGGTGCCGGGGGTGAGCCGCACCAGAAATCCAGTGGGTTTGGGGGTTTTTGGCTATTCGATGCTATTTTTAGGAATAATTAAGGAAAGGCGCGGTGACTACGGTTATTGCTGACATCCTTCTCCCTCCCGCTCCCTCCCGGAGCTCATCTCGGCCCCCAGCCTGAGGGGGATGAGTGAGATCCCCCAAAAGTCACCGGGACTGGGGATCTCGGGGGAAGCCCAGCCCTGGAACCGGCTGCAGGGAGCTCAGTACGGTCCGGCGGATCGCTTGGATACACAGGTAGTTTTTATTTTCCCCTTTCTGTAGGATTTAAGCCTYATTTCCACACAAGGCTTTTCATGCACGTCAAGATTGGCTCGTTCCCCCTCGACCCCACTGAAGGCAGCACCTGGGCGCAGGAATCCATCAGGAACCCACCGGGGTTCCAGGTCCCGTCCCCTCCGAGAAGAGCATTTAGTGTTCATGAATCCCTTGATATCAAGTGATACTCAGCTTCATCCAGGGGAGCAGCAGCCTCCCCGTCATCTTGCCAGGAGGAGGACAACCCCTTCCCTGAAGCCTCGCTGCCCCCAGGGAGGCRGAGGGATCGTCCAGGCTTTCTCCAAGGCTGGTTTGGTTCCCGGTGGCTGCCGTCCCAGGAGAGCTCGTACCGTCCCCGCGCCGCCCGGGGCCACAGCCTCAGGATATCCCACTGCCCGATGTCATGGCCACAGCGGCACTGGGCACTCTCCTCCTTGCCACATCTCCCTAATTCTTCAGTGCTCTCCATGGCCGGACAGCAGGCATTCTCATGGGATCACTCTGCATTCCCTTCTCCCCAAATACAAAAGAACCCAAAACCAATGTGTTTTAAGCTTTTCCTCAAAGCCAGCAGGGAATCGGAGCCAAGCTTTAACAGGAGCAAGACGTAAACCGGGTCCGACTCCGAGGTATCCAAGGGTATCCAGGAGTTTGCTTCCATGGCAGTGGAAATGRAGAAGTGTAAGCTTGTCGACCCCGAGCCATCTAATCCATGGAAATCCATCAGAATTCCTTTCAGAACACTCAACTCTACCTCTCTGGATCCAAACAAACAGCTCAAACCCTTCCCACGCACTCAACCAATGGGAGATACAGAAAACAAACAGAAAATCAAATAAAAGAACCTAAAATCCTTGGAAACAGAACTCGCTCTGGAAGCGATGAGGACAACATGCGCAGCTGGGGAGGCTTCCCATCGTGGTTTTTTTTCCTTAAATGCCAGGTTTCGAGTACGACGAACGTTATTGCTGGCGCTCGCTCCAACCCCAGCGGGACACATGCGACTCCCTGCGCCCGGCCGAGTCCGGCACGGCCCCTCGCGTCCCTCGGCTGGCGGGGACAGCCCGGCTGGGACGGCCGCTCACAGTGGGTGGAGAGGGGAGGTCACAGTGCGTGAGGCTGAAGGTCACAGTGGGCAGAGCAAAAGGGTCACAGTGCAAATCAAGCCGGGAGGGCCCCCGGCCCAGGTCCGTGTGTCCGTGCCGGCGGAACGGCACGGCCGCCTCTATCTGCGCTGCTTGAAGCCTTGCGAGCCATCAGGGCCCAGGGGCTGCCGGATCACATTGTTGGGCTGCCTGGTGTCCTCGGGCTGAGAGATCCGCGGCGGCCTGCGGGGACAGAGGGACACAGATGGGGCTGTGGAGACAGAGCTGGGGTTGCAGGGAGAGGGACAGGGCTGGGGCTGCGGGGACAGAGATGGGGCGGCGGGGACAGGGATGGGGCTGCGGGGACATGAGGACAGAGGTGGGACTGCGGGGACATGAGGACAGAGGTGGGACTGCGGGGACAGAGGTGGGACTGCGGGGACAGAGGTGGGACTGCGGGGACAGAGGGACAGAGATGGGGCTGTAGGGACAAAGCTGGGGCTGCGGGGGTGGGGGGGCAGGAACACGTGTGCAATTCCAAAGTGCCTTCAGAAACCCCCATGGGAATGTTGTCACATGCTCTGGGGTCCCCAGCACAGGAAGGACAYGGAACAAGCCCAAAGGAGCCCAGCAGTGTGATCAGAGGGATGGAGCAGCTCTGCTGGGACAAGCCTGGAGAAGGGAAGGCTCCAGGATGACCCAACCTTGGCCTTCCAGCACCTGAAGGGGCCAACAGGAAAGATGGAGGGACTTGGGACAAGAGCCTGGAGAGACATGAGAAGGAAGAATGGCTTCCCATGGCCAGAGGGCAGCGACAGATGGATTCTGGGGAGGAATTGTTCCCTGGGAGGGTGGGGGGGTCCTGGCACAGTGGTGCCCAGAGCAGCTGTGGCTGCCCCTGGACCCCTGGAAGTGTTCCAAAGGCACGTGGATGTGGCACCTGGGGACATCTTTAATGGGAAACACAGCAGTGCCAGTTAATGACCGGAYTCTCTGATCTTGGAGGACTTTTCSAACCCTAATGATTCCACGATTTCTGGCTTCACCAGGCCCTCCCCTCAGGGCTCTGCTGACAGAGCCCTCCCCTCTCCCTGTTGGCCTGGCCATGCTCCCCCAGGAGCTCCCAAGGCCGCTCTCACCTGTCCAGGATGGGCTTCTCCTGCTCCTCCTCGGGGCTGGCGCTGCCCAGGATGCGTTTCCTGGCCTCGGCGTACTCGGCCTCGCGCTGYGCCAGGGATTTCACGGGGAAGGCGGGGCGGCTGGCCGAGTTGGGGTTGCTCAGGACRCCGTTGGTCGTGGGCCTCTTGAGGATACGGATCTGGGGGGGAGGCCCCGTGGGAAGGCTGTCGTCCTGGATCACGATCGGCACTTTGGGAGGAGATTTGGACTTTCTGCTGTTGGAAAGAAAAACATTGGCTTGGTGAATGTTTTCCACAGGGGTTTTCTGCCCAGAGTGTGAATTCCTTGTGCTCAGATGTCACTCCTGTGATTAAGGGCAGCCTGTAATAATTAAGGGTCTCGTTATAGTTGTAACTCTAAACTAGAGCAGCGGATTAGCTCGGAAAGGGATGGAAAAATCAGTCCCTGGTGTGTCTGACACCATCAAACTCTGCTGAAGGGAGCAGACAGTGGGTGAAGTTTTAGCTCTTCTTGTCACAGACACCGGTGTAAGTAAMGTGATTTCACTCCCTGCAAGAATTCTGAGGGCTCCTCTCACCAGGACACCCAGCCTTTCACTCCAACCCTGCCATTTCTCTCTCAGAGCCAGCCTTGACCCCATCTCAGCACCTGAATGTTTTACAGTCCCTTTYCTGCGTGCAGCTCCCAGGGAATAAACCCCGTGACTCTTTAACAACCACAGGGAAAGAAACCCCAACAACAAAGGACCTGTCAGCAGTGATTAGAGACATTTCTGGTTGGARGCAATAACACACCCCTGTCCCGACCCAAAGGAAGCAGGAAAAGAATTCTCCCTGATGCAAGACCCAGCAAGTCAGCCCAGGCCAGGAGCTGGGATTACCTGACTCACCCATTTATTCCCTTCAGTGCCTTTTTCTTACATGGAGTTATATCCAAGCTGGAGGAGCCAGCTCTGAAATGAAACCCCTCTCGAGAAGCTCTCTGCTACCCTGCCACGGCTCCAAAGGGCCATCTAGTGGCTTGGAGACAGGGATTCCTGAATTCTCAACCCAAACCCAGCACTCCCYGCTCCGTTTGAAGATGTTCACCCACTGTTCCCACTCCCCAACAGCACCTCAGGAAAATCAGGATTTTACCTTTCCTTCTGGGTGATCTTCAGCTTCTTTTCCAACCGTCTGTCTATTTCCTAGAAAAGGAGAGAAAAGTAAAAACATGAAGTTTTTAATAAAATGAAGACCAATCTCAGTTTGGAGGTCAGAGTTGGAGCCTGTCTGGGCACACATTTAATTTTACTCTTCCGAATGCTGATCTTTAAAGAGGGCAGGGAGGGTGTGATTCCATCTGAGGATGACTCAGGAATCAAGAGGCACGGGAAGCAAAGGCCCCGTGGATAATCCATGAGAAAAGCAAAACCACCGCGAGTGTTTTCTGTAACCAGGAGTGCACCCACAGCAGGCCATACATCCGGCATGGGGATCTCCGATTTTAACCACTTCGGCTGGCAAAAAACTTGTGAGCGTAAAAAATCACAGGATTCCACAGCAAGATATTCCTAAATCCAAGTGGGAACCAGCCCAAACCCAAAAGGCTGAGGAGCCGCAGCCAGGGGGATTCCAGTGATCCATCAGTGGGATTCCCACAATCCCCAGAGGGATTCTGGAGATCTGCAGGGTGGATTCCTATGATCCACCGGCYGGATTCCAGGGGGAGCTGAGCCCCCAGCCCAGGGCCATGGGAAGTGCTGGCCAGCAGGGCCACTCTCCTGGCAGAAGTCCCTGCCCTGCCCCATGCACAGCCAGGGAGCCTCCCTGCGCTGCTCCTTGCCTTTCCACCCTGCCGAGTCACCCATGGGCACAAAGATGCCTTAATCACCCCAACAGAGCCTCRTTAATCACCCCAACAAAGCAGGGCTCAGAGCATGTCAGCCTCTGCCCGAGGTGTCCAGGTGTTGCAACTGGAGCAATTACACACAGAAACTCGGCTCGGGAGAAGGAAGGCAGGTCTCAGCCTCCTGCAGGTGACCTGCTCCAACCCCGCCGGTTTTCAGATCCTCAGGACAGCTCCGTTAAAAGGGGCTCTGAAACAGCGCTTTGTGTTTTACTTTAATCATCAAGGAAGGGGGGAAACACCACCTGAGGGTGYCCTAGTTTAGCCAGCTGATAACTGGCACTACTGAAGGAAATTCCAGACTTCTGGCAGGAGGTAGCTGCTCTGCTCTGAGACCTGGATGYTTCCCCAGACTGCCGGCAGGAACCGCAGCAGGCACAGCTTGGGAAACAAACGGGTTTGGACAGAAATTCCTTGCTGTCCCAGAGAGCAGGGAAAGAAYTCGAGCCACCGCAAGATGCCAAACCACAGTGTTTGCTCCCGGTCACACAACCCATGGCAGCCTCCACCTAGGGAGGTGAAGGGAATAAATTATTGCAGGAAGATAAAAGGTGGGCRGGAGGCTGAGTTTCCTACCAAGCTCTGTCCTGGGAGGTAACAAAACCAGGCAGGTCCCAGCCAGACGGCAAACACCTGCAGTTTCCTTCCTCTTCAAGGGGACTGGGAGGAAAATCTCACCCCAGCACTGCTCAGGAGGGAGGAAAACGGGTATCAGCCATTTCCTGCCCTCCAGGAAAGAGGAACGGGGACCAGGCAGCAGGGGTATCACAGACAGGATGGGGATGCTGTGGAGCAGCTGGGGGCAAACAATGGAAATCGAGTCAAGGTGAAGCTCAGCAATGAGCCAGCCCAGGGGACATCAGGCCTTGAAACCACTTTTTTAGCCTCCAGGAGCTCATCATGGCTCCCAGGGCCTCCTGAAATATCCCTCTGTAACTATTTCAGTTCTTGGGGGAGACAGATAACAGGAAAACGGGCTGGAAGGTGGGCAAAACACACTCAGGAGCTTCTCAGCTCCTTTCACTCCATGCAGCAGTGACTCTGGAGCCAGAACGGGGGTGCTGAGCCCCAGGTGGCACCCTGGGTATGGCAGTGTCACAGGCCACACAGCAGCCCCCAGGAAGGCTCCGCTGTGCTCCCTCCTTTGGCAGAAGCCAGGTCCCTGCACTCCTGGTGGCTCTGCAGGAGAGCCCCGGGGTGAAGGCCACGGTCTGAGTGTGGCACTGCGAGTCGCTGCCATTGCAGAGTGTCACCTCCACCTCAGCACTGGGTGATTCACATCACTGTTACTGTCACCAAGCCCCAGTGCTGCTGGGCATCCCTGAGCACCCCACATGCACYGGACACTCGAACCACAGCCCTCGGCACCGGGAACGGGAGATTCACGCCACTGTCACCGAACCCCAGCACTGCTGGGCACCTCTGAGCACCCCWGCATGCACTGGACACTCCACAGCCCCCCGTGCCAGACAAAATGAGGCTTTTTCCTCTGCTCAACGCAAAAACTTATCCCAAGGAATCCTTCAAACCCATCACAATTCCTTGACAGTCTGTTTCACTCTCACCCACTCAGGAGTAGGTCACTTCCAGCAAAATACAYGGTGTCCTTGTGCCCCCAAAATGTCCAGTGGTTTCAGAGCAAACGCGTGGCCCTGGATCATAAACCACTGCCAGCACATTCAGCAGCTGCTCTGTGCTTGGGGAGCTGCTCACCAAGGATCTCACAGGATCACAGAGGTGCGAAAAGCCCTCCTCCATGATCACTGAGTTCACCCTGTGCCTTATCCCCACCCTGTCCCCWGCCCAGAGCACCGAGTGCCACCTCCAGCCCTGCCTTGGACACCTCCAGGGTTGGSGACTCCAAACCTCCCTGGSCAGCYCCTGCCAARGCCTGACCACCCTTTCCATGCACAAATTCCTCCTGATGTCCCTCCTGCCCCTCCCCTGGCCCAGCCTGAGGCCATTCCYYYYCYYCYKKYCCYKKTYCCYKG